ACTTCGTTAGATCAATTTTCCCTCACAAAACTCTCATTGGTGCTTAACGACTCACAGTCTCCCACCATGAAATTTCCCACCGATCAGACCAATTGACGGTGGGACCACCAAGATTCTTTCCTGTTTAATCCATTCAAACTTCCGCTATGTTCGTGCATTCAATACTTTCATGGTTAGAGTCCGGATATAATGCTTAGAATTTTGATCTGTCAATCTTTGATGAATTGTCAAACCCTTTCGTGTTAAGTCCTTATCACTTAACACCCAGAAAACACCTCTGAGTGATTTGTATAAGTTAACACTCCCACTTTGATTTGCACTCCCACCCCTACTGTCTACCTAATCAAACCTTTCTACAGTTAGGACCACAACCAAAATCCCCTATCGATTCCTCCAATAAACGAGAGGCCCACAAATCGAGCGATCAAACCTTCCTATAGTTAGGATCGTTTCAAACCTCCCACTCGGTCAAACCTTCCTACAGTTAGGGCCAAAACCAAAATCCCCTTTCGGTTCCTCTAATGAACGAGAGGTCCACTTTCAAATCGAGTGATTAAACCTTCTTACAGTTAGGATCACCTCACACGCCCGCTTGGTCTAACCTTCCTACAATCAAGGCCAAAACCCCAATTTAATCTCGATAAACGAGAAACTCACCTTTTAGTTCGATAATCAAACCTTCCGACAGTTAGAATTATTTGAATCTTTTTGATTCTCGGAATGGAGATCCCACTCTTGGTTTCACCTTTTCGGATTCTTAAAGTGGAGATCTCACTTTGAGTTTCCTTTTGTGACTAGAGATAGAATATAAAATTCTTCCTCTTCAGCTTTGGAAGATAGAATATAAAATTCTTCCTCTCCTGTATCGGGTTCGTCTTTGCCCCAAGAGAAGACACAACTTTTTCAACTCCCAAAATCCGTGCCTCACGCGCGCGGGAAATTTTATCACGAATCCTAAGTAGGGATAAGTCAACGCTTAACACGCGTTGCCGGTTTAGTCTTTCACCGATTGAAAAAGACACCAGAATTCAAGTCTGGGGAATTTCATCCTGAATCCTAAGTAGGGATAAGTCAACGTCTAACACGCGTTGCCGATTAGTTCTTAACTGTAAAAAGAACAAAAGCCCACCTATTCGACATTGTGGCAGATTGTTATTAATAACACCATAATCCGTGCCTTACACGCGTGAGGAATTTTATCCCGAATCCTAAGCAGGGGTAAGTCAACGCCTAATACGCGTTGCCGGTTTAGTCTTTCACCGTTTGAAGAAGACACCAGAATTCAAGTCTGGGGTATTTTATCCCGAAGCCTAAGTAGGGATAAGTTAGCGCTTAACGCGCGTTGTCGGGTAGTCTATTCCCGTGAGAAAGACGAAGTCTACGTATTCAATATCATAGCACTAAAAGGGTTAACTCTTTTAGCACAACGTCACATGCGGAACAGACTTAAATAATCCGCATGCAAGCCCGATTCAAACGGTAATCGGTAAACCCACGTCAAATCCGTTGAAGGCTGAGGATTTGCTGAAAATCCTGAGTCAGTGTCTAACACGCGTTGCCGGGTCGTCTATTCCCGTGAGAAAGACGAAGTTTACGTATTCAATATCGTAGCACTAAAAGGGTTAACTCTTTTAGCACAACGTCACATGCGGAACGGACTTAAATAATCCGCATGCAAGCCCGATTCAAACGGTAATCGGTAAAGGCACGTCAAATCCGTTGAAGGCTGAGGATTTCCCAAAAATCCTGAGTCAGCGTCTAACACGCGTTGTCGGGTAGTCTATTCCCGTGAGAAAGACGAAGTCTACGTATTCAATGTCGTAGCACTAAAAGAGTTAACTCTTTTAGCACAACGTCACGTGCAGAACGAATTTAAATAATCTGCATGCTAGCCCGACTCAAACGGTAGTCGGTAAAGGCTAATCAAACCCGTTGATGACTGAGAATTTGCCAAAAATTCTATAAATGTGAGTCATTGACGCACCAGCTCCGATAGCTGGTCTCGTGACTCGAGCATCCAACAACATCAAGATAAGATCCACACATGCAGATGAATCAACTTTAACAGTTGGTCCTGCAGTCCCAACATTTGGGACCGCCACGCTTCAATACCTTAAGAGCTTAAACTGTGAAGACTCCAGCAAACGTACGAGTATAAACTGTGTTAACGCCGGTCAACTGAAGTCAACGCCGGACAACGCATTACAATGAAGGTTGATGCTGGTCGACACATCAACAATTTCACCAAAATAAGACAAAGAATGATTCCATGGAGTTCAATTGCACTCAGACATGAATTTCTGACGAAGATGATCAGTTCAAAGTCAACTCAACGATAAAAGCTAAATTTGGAAACTTACACATCAACTTCAATCCAAGATTTCGGCAACAGTCAGATGATAAACGCAGCACCGGAAAAACTTTATTTATTCGACAAAACACTGACTGAAGGCTAAAGGAGTCAAGAATTGAAGCAGTTCACAGGTCCCTCTACGAGATTGAGGAAAAGGCCTATCTTATCCAAAGCATTTCAGACTCCCCTATAAAAGAACGAGTTAGAAATTCTTTGGAGGGGGTATCTGTAGGCGTCAAAAAATGCCTATAGGTCCCCGAATATAGCTCAAGACAAAGAGAAGGCGATGAACGTCATTATCCGAGTCGAAGAGGATTATCCGACGCCGACAAGCGAATCTGCAAGCCGTTGATGACACGACAACGAACCACCACAACGATAAACGTCAAGTGGCCCGCACGCGTCAATCAACTCAAAGCGTCCAAACGCGCCCAACAGTCAGTTAGCACGCACGCGTCATTCAGCTCGCGCGCGTCAATCATCACTCGTGCGTCTCAATCAACACGTGCACGTCAATCAGCTCGAGGGTCAATCAACTCACGCGTGTCGGTCAACACGCGCGCGTCAATCAACTCGCGCACGCCAACATACGCACGCGTGCATCAATCAACACGTGCGCATATCAACCAACGCACGTTCGACAGTCAGTCCCGCAATGAAACGTACAAGTCAACCAAATACGCGAAACGGGAGGAACTACAAATCTCGGAAGAGTCGGAAAACCAAAAAAAGTGTCAGACTTCGAAACCCACGCCGATGCGGGACGGACGAAGCTGACCCGCACTAGCGCGGGTCGGTCGAAACCGACCCGCACCAGCGCGGGTCGGCTTTGGCCGACCCGCGGTTGGGCGGGTCGGCCTTGGCCGACCCGCGGCCTGGCGGGGGTCGGCCAAGGCCGACCCGCGCCCCTGCGGGTCAGCGCGACCCGACGCGCTGTTTTGACCCGAAAACCCGTTTTTTGACGGATTTAAGCGGTTTTCTCAGGATTTATCTGTTCCATAGGTTCCTAACTGTCTAAATCATATCTCTAAATATTGTTAATCAGTTGTTAACTGAGGATGGAGCCAAATCACTTGTTGTCATCCAAATAACCGCTTCCGAAGCCCTATAAATACAAGTCTAGGGCCTCCGTTCAGCGGGGACGAATTATTATCAAGACGTGGAGGTGCTGCTGAATTGAGGAGTCAAGGAGCATGAATTTCAGCGAAGGCAAATTAGATCCTGGCGAACTTCGGCATAAAGAAGGAGCTATTCGAAGGATCTGAACCCCGTCCGTCCGTCCCTTGAGATTAGTCTTGGTCTTAATCTCAAGAAGAGCCCTTATTTCGCTTGGTCAATCTCAGCGCTTCAAATCAAATACTTCCTCGGTGAAGACGAAGCTCTGCCAAATTTTTTATCAACCGGGTCCAGATCAAAGGCGGTCCACGGATAAACCCCGGCACAGTCAAAGATCCCACGCAAGCAGAAGACCGATAAACGATCTCTGCGTTTGTTTTGACGAGAGTTGTAACTTTTTTTGACGAGAGTTGTAACTTTTTGTTTTCATTGTGTAAAAGTCTTATAAAAAGACAATCTTTTTGTTTTTATTGTAACGACTAAAGTTGTAATTAAAAGTCTTATAAAAAGACAATCTTTTTGTTTTTATTGTAACGACTAAAGTTGTAATGAATACCGTAATAAATATAACAATTTTCGACGCAAACAGGAACTAGCATGTTGGTGATAATAAAAGCCACAAGTGAACTGCTATTAGGAGTCTAATTATAGCAATAATAGAAGTCATTATGGGATTGGACTCTTATTGAGCTTTATAATATGTTGACTCATATTTTCACTAGAACTCCTACTTTGTAGGCAGCAAGGTGTTGAGGTTTTCAAGCCTATATATGTATAGTCTTTCATGCCAATTATAATTATCAATCTACAGGGCACCAATTAAGAACAGAGAGTTTTCTTTTGAAGTCTATTTGATATTTTTCCTCTTTTGTTCTTTTATTTGAGAGAGTAATATTATGCTTTTTGGGTGTATTAGGGATTAAGTGATTAAGAGATCTCTACATTGTATTCCTCACATTTTAGTAAAGCTATTCTCCTCATTCGCCCATAGACGTAGGCTACAAGCCAAATCATGTATATCCATGTGTTATTTGTCTTCTCGATCTTTTTCGTGCTTTCATGATTGATATTAGGCTATTCATGAGGATTTGTCATAACAACAACTAAAGAAAGATTAAACAAAATTAATATTTGTAGGTACAAAGAGACTACTGATAATGAATTAAGAAACCCGAGCCTTATTTTTTTTTCTTGAGAATAGTACACTGTGGACTCGTTTTCTACAATGACAAAATAGAAACATGAATGCTTTATGCATTGATAAACATTTAACAGCTTCTCTTGAATGGCTACGAACTTAATTATTGCTGAGAATGAGATGCAATGAATCAAAGGATAGATAGCTAAATGGGAGATCCATTATCAAATTAGTCACCCCTCGCCTTCTACTGCAACAAAAGAGCGAAGAAAACTGTTAGTTACAATAACAGAGCTGCAAATATATGCATATGAGTTTACAATTAATAACACTTACAAGAATAATGTAGTTTTCTTAGTACTGCTAAAACTCTTTAGCATGTAACCAAGAGCTTCAATAGTGTGCTGGAGGAGGTGGAGAATTATAATAGTAAGTAAGAGGAGGTGAAGCTGATGGTGGTGGTGGAAACTTATAAAGATATGGAGGTGGTGGTGAAGGAGATGACGGCGGAGGAGACCTATAGTGGTAAGGCAGTGGTGGAGATGGGGATGGTGGTGGTGGAGACTTATAATGATATGGTGGAGGCGGTGAAGGAGATGGTGGAGGTGGTGACTTATAATGGTATGGTGGTATGGCGGTGGAGGTAGATGTACTGGAGGTGGTGGGGATTTGTAGTGATATGGTGGAGGAGGGGAGTGTGCGGGAGGAGGTGGGGATTTATAGTGATAAGGCGGTGGAGGGGAGTGTGCGGGAGGAGGAGGGGATTTGTAGTGGTAAGGCGGTGGAGGCGAGTGTGCAGGAGGAGGTGGGGATTTGTAGTGGTAAGGCGGTGGAGGGGGGTACGCGGGCGGAGGTGGGGATTTGTAGTGGTAAGACGGTGGAGGGGAGTGTACTGGAGGAGGTGGGGATTTATAATGGTATGGATGTGGAGGTGAATGTACTGGAGGTGGTGGGGATTTGTAGTGATATGGTGGACGAGGCAAGTGTGCGGGAGGAGGTGGGGATTTATAGTGATAAATCGGTGGAGGGGAGCGTGCGAGAGGAGGTGGGGATTTGTAGCGGTAAGGCGGTGGAGGGGATTGTGTGGGAGGAGGTGGGGATTTGTAGCGGTAAGGCGGTGGAGGAGAGTGCACTAGAGGTGGTGGGGATTTGTAGTGGTAAAGGTGGTGAGGAGGAGCGAACCGGAGGTGGTGGCATGATCATAAGTGATAAGTGGAGGCGTGAAGGAATGGTGAAATGTGGGATTTGTAGTGTAAGGCGGTGGGGTTGAGTGAGTTTGCGATGAGGGGGATTGGTAGTGGGTAAGGCACGTGGAGGAGAGTGTGCCGGAGGAGTGGGGAGTTGTAATGATACGGTAGAGTTTGCGAAGGTGATGGTGGAGGTGGTGATTTATAAATGGTAACGTGGTCGGCAGGTGAAGGGGATGGTGGTGGTGAGGCGGCGATATGTAGTGGTAAGGTGTGGTGGAGAGGGAGATGGTGGTGGTGGGGATTTGTAGTGATAAGCGTGCTGCGGCGAAGGAGATGGAGGCAGGTGGTGATTTATAATGTAGGGTAGGTGAGGGGAGTTGGTGCAGAGAGGTGTGATTTATAATGATAGGCGGTGGCAAGGAGAAATTGCACTGCCGGAGGTGCAGAATGTGAGGGTGGTGGCGGTGATGATTTGTAATGATAAGGGGGAGGAGGTGACTCGGAAGGAGGTGGGGGCGATTTGTAGTGATATGGAGGAGGAGGAGGAGGAGGAGAAGCATAAATGTAAGGCTTTTCACTGGCCTCTACAAAGGTTGCAATCAAGCAGATGGCTATGGCAAGGACTTGGGGAGGCCTTAGCCTCACCTTACCAAGAGTCCCCATTTGGTGGTTTACCTTTTGTTCCTAAGCTTAGATGCTTAGTTTGATTGGTTTGCATGGATATAAACTCTTCACTCTTTATATAGGAGCTTGGAAATGACTGTTCAATTATACTAATCTTTTTATTAAACTGACAAGATGCAAGCTGTCTCTTTGAATTTTCACCTAATACACATTTGCCACTGCCATCGGTGGTGGGTTCCTATCAACTGCCCTTTTTTTTTCTCAGAATAGTGTTGGGTTAGCAACCAATTGGCGACCAAAGTCTTAGAAGACTGCAGCTACTTTCTCTGTTCACACTATATTCTCTAGTCCTTTGTGATTGCAATTAACTTGGCATTTCCTTTTTTCTTTTAACTAGGCTTGACTATCCTCAGTTTGATTTGCACTTGTTTGAATAGAGATTACATACTTAGGTGCATCCTATACTTTTCAAATAATACGATTGATTCATCTTTTTCTAAACAATTTGGTATCGAGATAATGGCGTGTCTTTATGAATTATATTCCAATTGAGGTTTTCTTTCTGATATTCCAAGCTCAAAAGGATCAAATAATTTAGCTGACAGGGATATTTTTTTTGTCCTTGCCAGTAATCCATGTGCTAGTTCACTGGCAAAGCTATATTCTAAGATTTGATTTGAGTGACTTGGGCAGTGCGCATCCACATCACTAACCCTGTTATTTAAGGTAAACCCATGTTTTAAGGTATTTTATAATTGCTTATAATTTGAGAAACTGCGTGTGTATTCTTAATTTATACGTTTAGAAAGTAGTAAGTGCATGGGTATTCTTTGACAGTAGTAATTGTGTGCTTATTCTTTGAAAAACTATACGATTTCCTACGTACCTCCGTCTTTAATAATTATGCACTTCATAAAATTGAGTCTGGCTATTTCTAGTTTGTTGCTAACAAAATATGTTTTTGATTTAATTAGTTAGAATTTCCATTATCTAGCAAGACACACATGTTTTCCTTGATTTTTGAGTCCGGTTACATGTTTTCCTTGATTTTTGAGTCTATTAGTGCATTTTGAATTGAACATATGGATTGAGTAATTGTCGAGTATCCTGCAGTGTGATCTATATTTTATGATTAGCTCATATAATCATGTTGTATTTTTATGCAAGTATCTCTGAAAATTTGAAATTTCACTTTCTTTATCAACTATGTAGATTATAACAACTTTAAAAAATTCAAAAACCAGTACAATCTACTCCTCTATACAAATGAGAGAATCCAAGATTCACTATTCATGTTACAGTAATGCTACAGTAGAATTTACTGTAGTAAATATGAACTGAGCGCTTTGGGTTTTGAAAAAATATTACCGCAACACGAAAATACTGTAGCAATTTAAAAAGTTCAAAAATATTATAGCAGTTAAAACCAGGATAACTATAGCGGAGAAGCTTTGCACGGTGTTCACACTAGTATACTTAGGTAGGGGAAAATTAGTAGTTATGATGAAGAAAATTTGCATTAACCCGAAGCAACTTTGAATATCAAGTGGGGGCAAATATTTCTTTAAGGAAAGTGTTTCACGCCTCAGAATTTCTGTCTCCTTCATTGTTTTACTAACAATCTTAAAGAAATATTTCTGCTACAATGGAGTCGGAATCAATCAAGGTGATGAATCAAGACATGGTCAAATTGGACCGATTCGACGGGAACAATTTCTCTCGCTGGCAAGACAAGATGATGTTTCTTCTTACAGCATTGGAGATCTCCTACATTCTCAACCCCAACCTGCAGCCCATAGAAGATCCAAAACCAAGTGCAGACGGCAAACAACCTACTGAGGAGGAAATAGAAGAAATCAAAAAGCAAAAGGCAAAACGGGAGGAAGATGAAGTGTTGTGTCGCGGTCATATTCTGAACACACTTTCGGACCGATTATATGATCTTTTCACGAGGATAAAGTCGGCAAGAGAGATCTGGAATATTGCACTGGAATTTAAATACAAAGCTGAGGAGGAAGGTACAAACAAGTATTTAATTGCAAAATATTTAGATTATAAAATGGTTGATGACAAGTCTGTCCTAGAGCAAGTTCATGAATTGGAGGTTTTGGTTAATAAGATTCATGTTCTCAAAATAGTTCTTCTAGAATCTTTTCAAGTTGCTGCAATTATTGCAAAACTACCATCAACTTGGAAAGATTACTCGAAGAAACTAATGTATAAAACTGAGGAAATCTCTTTGGAACAACTTCAGAAGATTCTTAGAATTGAAGAGGAGTCACGCTTACGTGATTCAAAAAATTTGGTCTAAAATGATTGTAAGGTCCACACCGTGGAAAAGAATGAATCTTCGGTAAAAAAATGTGAACCTTCAAGTAAAGAAAAGTGGACAATACTTTAAAAGGAAGAATTTTCAGAAGAAAAAGGGATCCTGTTTTATTTACGGCAAGTCTGGACATTTTGCTAAAGAATGTCATCACAGAAAAAATAATAATGTAAAATCAAAGGCTTCTGCAAATATGATAGAAGAGAATCTGGTCGCTATGATTTCTGAAATCAATATGGCTTCTGTTAAGTCTGGATGGTGGCTTGATTCTGGTGCAACAATCCACGTTTGCAAGGACAAATCCTTGTTCAAAGGATTTGAAGAAATTTCGGAAATTACAGAAGTGCAAATGGGGAACAATGCTTGTGCAAAGGTTGCTGGAAAGGGGACTGTTGACATAGATTTTACTTCTGGAAAGAAATTAACTCTTATAAATGTTCTGTATGTACCCGAAGTTAGAAAGAACTTAGTTTCTGTTGATCTTCTTTGTAAGAAAGGGTTTCGGGTTGCTTTTGAGTCAAATAATGTTATCCTGTCTAAGAACGGGATGTTTGTAGGAAAAAGGGCTACTCTTGTGATGTAATGTATCAACTAAGTATTAATAATTATATCTTCTGTTTATATTGTTGAACCTTCATATTTATGGCATGATCGTTTAGCACATTTAAATTTTCGCTATTTGAAAAAAATGAGAAAGTTAGACTTCATTAACTTTAATGGTGAATTTGATAAATGTGAAATTTGTGCTAAGTCTAAATTAACAAAGAAATCTTTTCCAATTGTTTCTCGCAAAGATTGTAAAGGTTTAGATTTAATACATTCTGATATATGTGAATTGAATGGTATGTTAACTAGAGGAGGAAAAAGATACTTCATCACTTTTGTTGATGATTGCAGTAGATATATGTATGTTTACCTTTTAAGAACAAAAGATGAAGCGCGCTTTTGATATGTTTAAAAAATACAAAACAGAAGTTGAAAATCAACTTGAAAGGGAAATTAAAGTATTACGTTCTGATAGAGGTGGTGAATATTTTTCTGATAATTTTAATAATTTTTGTGAAGAATATGGCATTATTCATCAATGTACAGCACCTTATACTCCCCAACAGAATGGTTTAGCCGAAAGAAAAAATAGAACTTTACAAGAAATGATAAATTGTATGCTTAATAATGCTAAGTTACCTTTAAATTTATGGGGAGAAGCATTGTACATAGCATGTTATATTCATAATAGGATTCCCTCTAAAAAGTCAAATATAAGCCCTTATGAGTTATGAAAAGGTAGAAAACCTAATCTGTCATATTTTAAAGTGTGTGGGTATTTGGCTTATTATAGAATTCATGATCCTAAAAGAACAAAACTTGGACCTAGAGCCTTTAAAAGTGTTTTTGTCGGATATGCTAAAAATATCATAGCATATAGACTACTTGATTTATCTTCTAATACTATTGTTGAATCTAGAGATGTTGAATTCTTTAAAAATAAATTTTCTGTAGATTCTGAAAATGTTGAAAATGTTCCTATTCTCCTTAACTCTAATAATTTTTCTAGTTCTGATTTTCATGCTAAGGAAACGAATACATCTAAAGAAACATCAGAGCCAAGAAGAAGTACTAGAGCAAGAAAAGAAAAATCTTTACCTTCAGATTTTATTTCTCCTGAATAAATTATTTTTCTTGTTGAAGGTGATAGGAATAATAATGTTTTAAATAAACATCCTATAAGTTTTAATCCAGGTGATGATCCTAAAACATTTATAGAAGCAATGTCATCTAGAGATGCTTCATTTTGGAAAGAAGCTGTCAATGATGAAATGGATTCTATAATGGGAAATAGTACTTGGATTTTAGTAGATTTACCTCAAGGATCAAAGCCAATAGGATGTAAATGGGTTTTTAGAAGAAAATATCATTCTGATGGTTCTGTTCAAGCTTTTAAGGCTAGATTAGTAGCCAAAGGGTTTAGACACAAAGAAGGCATAGATTATTTTGATACATATGCACATGTCGCACGTATAACATCTATTAGAATTCTTTTTGCTTTGGTATCTATACATAAGTTATTTGTTCATCAAATGGATGTCAAGACTGCTTTTTTAAATGGAGATTTAAATGAGGAGGTTTACATGGAACAACCGGAAGGTTTCATTCTTCCAGGAAATAAAAGAAAAGTATGTAAACTAATTAAATCTCTTTATGGTCTTAAACAGGCACCAAAACAATGGCATGAAAAGTTTGATTCTGTTATTCTATCTTATGGTTTCAAATATAATAGTGTTGATAAGTGTATTTATTCTAAATTCACTGATAAATATGGTGTGCTTGTCTGCTTGTATGTGGATGACATGTTAATATTCAGCACTAATATGATTGGTATAAATGAGACTAAAGAGTATCTATCTTCTATGTTTAAAATGAAAGATTTAGGAGAAGCGGATACTATTTTAGGGATTAAAGTTAGAAAACATAGTGGGGGTTTTTCTTTAAGCCAATCACATTATATTGAAAAAATAGTGAATAAATTTAATCATCTTGGTTTTAAAGAAGTTAACACTCCTTTCGATCCCAGTGCCAAATTGACTGCCAATTCTGGTAGAGCTGTAGCACAGCTTGAGTATGCTAGTGCAATTGGTTCTTTAATGTATGCCATGCATTGTACTAGACCTGATATTGCATTTGCTGTATGCAAATTAAGTAGATACACTAGTAATCCAAGTGTAGAACATTGGAAAAGCATTTCCA